TGACATGTAGCAATTCAAGGTATACATATGGCTGAATTTTATGGAACGGATTATATTGCTAACTCTTTGCTGTACCATGCTTATAAACAAAAGTACATGGATATGGTAATTGGTCCAGAATCAAGCCCTCAACTGAAAACTCTGCTCGTTACTACCTGTGATACTGGATTCTGTATTGGCGAATTTTTGGGTACACTTTCAAAACAGTATCCCGACAGGGAGGTTGAAGTACATTATTCGGCAAGTAAAGTGAGCTTTTCAAGTCAAATCTGTTTAAAGCTTGTTCTAAAAAGCTATAGAACAAAGTAAATTAAGTTATCATTTTTATCTAGGCGCCGGTGATGATATTTGTTCAAAACCGAGCAAGATTTCGTATTCATGGAAAAATGAATCTACTTCTAAGACCGGTAAACAACAGTCAAGTAAAAACAGTGGTATGACTTTACTGCTACGAAAATAAAAATAGCGAAATGCGATATGACCATTATTTGATTAGATTTTCAATTAAACCTGGACTAAAAAGTTATTTTCCTTTACGGAAACATTTTCTGCTTGACTAAAATTGTTGTTTTTTTCTAATTCACTCTTTTAAACCTTTTTGAAATGTTTTTTCAATAAGCACGTTGCTGTTATAACTCCAGAATTGCTTCCTTTTCAGATTATTCGTGCAGAATCTGTAATGACTTCGAATATTAATTTACGTATAAGCGGAATGCGAATAACTGGTAACGCTAGTGTCGAAAAACTCGATTTCAAACTACTAGAGTCACGAATTCAAGATGTTGATCAGGCTTCATTTGGTGATCTAGGTCTGTTTGGTGCAGAATTCCTTGAGCACCTGTTAACAGATATATTGCAAGTTGGAATTATGATACCAACAATGAAAGGCGTTGTCTTGCGCAATCCAAAGTTAGTGCATTTTCAACATAGGTTGCTTTAAAAAGACGTTTTTTTTTTTTTTGGTGAAGCCACTGATATGAGTTTGTTTCTTTTCGCAACGGTTGGTCTTCTCAGAACGACTAACAGCTAGTAGAATGTTATAACGAGTACAAATCGAAAAAAATTGTAGTTTAAACTCTATAAAAAAAATTAGGTTAATTTTTTTATTTAAAAAGTTAACTGTTGCATGAGAAATAAATGCAGAAGAAAATGGTGGGAGTACCAAATTGAACAACAGTCAGTATTTACAATATCTAAAACGTGCCTTCTGAAGGGGCCACTCTTAATTTATGAATAGCTGTTGTACTCGTCATTGTTGTTCAAAGATCAATTGGATCAGTTGTCTGTTTACGATACCAATCATGTTTTTTTTTTTCATTGAGCTTAAAAAACTTACAGGTTGTCGTTACACGACCGGTATGTAAAAGTAGAAACATTTTTCAAGCTTGATGAAGGATTTGCCGGTCAAGTCGTCGAAGGTGCTGTACGACAAACACTGAACAACATAGGCCGATAAAATTGTAGAACTGTTATTTGCCTACACAATACAATTTACAACCCTATTTTCATTGGGCTGAAAGATGTAGCCCGGGTTGACTTTGGTTGTTAGATGAAAGGCTAAAAAACCGAAAAAATAGGGAAAATTGATTTTCAAATACCAATTTAGTTGGGATGACCGATTGAACTGTGTATTTGATATGATATCTGACTAATTAGTTGCTGGAAACAGAAGTCAACTAGTTGTTCTTTCCTTGTTTCTTCCTATCTACTGTGAAAAAAATTAGTCACAAAAATTGTAGTATTTTTAATAAAAAAGAAATTTTGAATATACGTTCTGCTTGTTTGTTTAACAGTATCTATCATTGAATGAAGATGCAATTAGTTTAGACTCTAATTTTTTACACTATTTTTTGTAATATAGTAAGTATCATCTTTTGATCAAATTTGTAAAAATACAACTGAACGTAGATAATTTCTGCTTTCTTATTATTA